CTGCTCCGGCGTCCATCAACGGAGCTGGTACTGCAGTGTGCAAGTAATCCCGCAATTGTGCCATAAGCACGTTGCAATGCGGTTTCGGCAATCGTGCGGTCGAGGGAACGGGCATCCACTGGAAGTCCGTGAACGTCAACGGGTCGAGCTCTTCAAGTCTTGACCATGACGTCGAATCCCCGGCGATAGATTGCGGCAAAGCTGCCAAATCGGTTGTCGATGGTGATGAAACCGTGCATGCGATGGATTGTTGCACGTGGAGCGGTTGGTCCAGCGGTGGAACCAAGTGGACAGCGTAGTCCTCGTAAGTGTAACGAGAACTTGCGACATTCGCGTTCTCCCCTGATGTGCAGGAGGCCGCTAGCAAGGCGGCCGAATCTGGCGGAGTAGAAGGTGGAGTCGCCTCACCTTCCGCGGAACTCAGTTTCCCGAGTTGAGGCGGGGTCGCACATCCTCCTTGGCCTGATCTTGGCACAGTGAGGTCTTGTGCTTGGTGTTGTTGCACCAGTAGCATTAGCCGTAGCGACCGCGGTACTTGTACTCCGCCTCGGTCAAGCTGAACTTGACCCATGGAAGCTGTCCATTTCCGGCCTGCGATGCTGGTTTCGCCTTCCCATTGTTGCGGGACTTGTTGTTGCTTCGCGGTTGGACAGCAGCCACATGATCTCCGTCACCTGATGCTGGAGTGGCTGCTGGGTTATCTCCACTGTCCGGCTGGACTGCAGCGAAGTGCTGCGGTTGCGGACCAGTTCGTACCTTCTCCACATAGGTCGGCTGCCATGTTGATTTCTCGTGTGCAGCTGACCTGTTGGTCTTGATGATCTCCGTCGCTTTGTCAATGATCTCAGCGAAGGTGGTGTATTGCTCGCGATCACCAAGTGTCTGGCTCAATGCAGCGCAGTACCTGTTGTAGAACTCATGGCGTAAATGCGTGAATGGCAAGTCCAGATTGGGCACTGCCGCAATCTTCTGCCACTCCGTGAGCCAATCCCGTGTTGCAATGTTGCCTTGTGACATGGTGAACAGACGGTCGATGGCGAGTGCTGGCGCGTCGTCGACGATGAACCGCTTCTTCCACAGCCGTGTCAGTTCCTCCCATGTGATCTTGTCCTTCAGATCTGGTACGTCGACACCGTGGGAGGTTGCCAGGTGGGTCAACCAGGTCTGGCATCCACCCTTTGAGTTCATGAACAGGGCGCCGATGTACGCGTGCTTGGCGATGGGCAGAATCCTGAGTTGCGTCGTGAATGCCTCCCACCAGAGGGTCGGATCCTGCTGCGTGTAGTCGTCGAACTTTTCCAGTTGGAAAGTTGGCATCTTGTACAACTTGGGATTGCCATCCGTGTTCGTCGACTGCAGCTGCTGGACCTCGGTCTGCAAGGTATGCAGCTGACTGCTGATGGTGGTCGACGCAGCGAAGGTGCTGATGTCGCCAAGCATTGCCACTACATGGTCAACGCGTTGCTCCAATTGGCGGCTAGAGGGTGCACTGCTGGAAGCACCAGCATCTGGTCCTGGTACAGCCTGTTCCAGGTCCAGTACACGGGCATTGAGTGCCCGTGTCGCATCCTCGTGGCTCTGCACTATCCGGCGGAGGTTCGCCAACTCATGGTGTTATTGCGTCAGATCCTGGAACAGCTGTTGCAGTTCCTGGTTCTGTCTCTCCAACTCGGACCGTTGGTAGTTGCAAGCATACAACAACCGTGTCACGAGTTTGGAGAGGAACTCCTTATGCTGCTCTTCTGGTGTTGCCTCGTCGCCGTTCGGTTCAAAGTGCCAAAACTTGAGTTTGTCGATGCTTGTGGCTTCATGCCGCTGCAGCAGATCCTGGGCTTCCTTGCGGCGAGCCTGGGCATCTGCGTCAGCCTCGGCCTGTAGCCGCAGCTTCTCTGCTGCTGCCGCTTC